TCTCTAAAGGGCATCTATGAACGTGAATCTGAACACTGCTGTGGACTGAATTCTGCGGTCGCTCCAACATATATGTTGAAGCCTGAGCCTCTGTTCCTGTAAATATGTTCCTGTTTGGGAAGAAACAGAGGTTCTCTTTTGTTATGCTAATTAGACGTGCCACTAATGGGTCCTTCACCAACCTAATTACTCTGATGTATAAAAAAATCGGAATGGACACGGAGACATAGAGAAGGGGAAGACAAACGCCAATGGACACCAAGGAATGCCAAGACTAACTGGCAGACACCAGGAACTAGAAGGCAGACTCGCACAAGGAATCAACACAGCCAAGATCCTCATTTGGACTATTCGCCTCTAGGACTGTGTGGTAATTACATAATTTCATGTCAACTTGATGTACAAGTGTAAGAGTAGAGATTAGCCTGTCAATCAGGTCACAGCCTGATGATGCCTTCTTGTGATTCTGGAAACTTCCTCTTTCTCTGTTTCACCTTCCTGATGAAGAGCGAGACTCAGAGAGCTGGAGGAGACATGTGGAGACACACACCAGTGCTGAGATGCTTCCACCACCACTGGATCCCTGAGACTTTGCACCCACCGACCCCGTAACCTTCCTGCATTTTGCATCATTACATGTGCTGCATGAGTCTGAAGGATTTTTGGACTAGTATTAGACTTATGATCTAATACTGGACTTATGGACTTGATCTGGCCTGGACTGAGATGTTTTCTCTTAATATACATTCACTCTTTGATATAAAGCTCTTTCTTATACATATACGAGTATCTCTGGATTTGTTTCTCTAGTCAACCCAGCCTAACACAAACTTTGAGAAAATAAATGTCTTCTCTTTAAAGCCACTCACGTGGTATTTTTGTTTCTACAGCACTGAGTAACCGAGACAGATAGATCTGGATATGGATGTGGGGGTGGAGATGAACGTGGATACAGATGTTGATGTGGTCGTGGACACAGAGATTGGAGGTGGAAGTGATAGAGATGGAAGTATATAGACATTTCCCAACTGCACTGAAATGAGTGAGGCTCAATTCAAAACCCCATTTGGGAAGAGACTAGAAAAAGTATCTGACAGTGATATTATTGAAAGTAGCAGGACTCAGAATGCCAGTGCCTCTGAGCGCTGTGAGCCACGCACGGTGCTAGGTCCCTCACCTGCATATCTCCTGTGACACGCCTAGTCATCCTATTGCTGAGACATTGTGTCCCCAGAAGACTGTAGAGCAAAAAGTTGCCTTCCCTCTTCTTACTATCCTACCAGAATCTCAAACGCTCCTACCCTCACCCCATCAGTACCACCTCCTCTGCTTTTCTGTAATTCTCTCTACCACACCTGTTGCGTGTCAGACTCCCTGGTTTCCACGTCGATCCACTGTGTGTCTCCCCCACTAGTATCCAAGTTCCGTGAGGTCATTAGTCTTTACATTTTATTCCCTGTGACATCTCCATTGCCCAGAACAGAGTCTGGCACATGATTATAATAGTTATGGTTAGCTGCCTTCTAGTTGGTTCCCAGCGTACGGTGAACCCACAGGTGTCAGAATAGAACTGTGGCCCAATGCCTCCGTTGTTGGAAATGGATCCCTAGCCTATCTTCTGAGGCATCCCTATGTGGCTTTGAACACCACCTCTGGGGAGCAGACAAACACTGACAGGTACCCAGTCACTGGAGTGGAAAAGCTTGGGCACTCCTCCACTAGGTCCCTCTGTAAGCACACCTGTGGCCTTCACTTTTGATGATGTCCTGATACCGGTCCAGCTTGTTCTTCAGGGTGTGTTGAGCGGCTGCCAGCTGCTGGAAGTCATAGGAAGACTGCTCCAGAACTCTCTCGGTCTCCTCGATCTCCTGCTGCAGGCCTTCAATATGTTCGTTATAAAGCTGAATCTCATCGTTGAAACACTCGTGCGCATCTGTAATAGTGTCTTCCAGGCTGGTTGTCTGTGGGCAGAGACACAATTGTAAGGAAAATCATTGCTGTCTCCCCCTAGGACATGGATTTTCTGGAGAACTTAAGTGCACGGAATGAAGTTTGATATGTTCTTTTTGACAATGAATGCAACCCCACTCTTCTTCAATTTTAACCCCGCATAGTAAGCCATATGATCGTGTGATTCAAATTGGTTAATATCAGATCCATTTTGGCTCGTGCATGCCTAAGATTCTCGATCTTCAAGCATTCCAATTTTCATTTTTTATTGCTTCCAGTTTTCCTCGTACATTCCACATGCTGGTTATTCATGGATGTCTGCAGATGTTTCTTCTCATTTCAGATCCTGTCCCGATAGCAAACGATGGTCCCCAAAGCTTTGCCCCGGGGACCCTACCGAACGTGGGTTCTGCTTTGAGAAGGCAGCTTGAGCCTCACTTTGAGTGCCTTCCAACCCACAATGTTCTCCTGCTACTCACGGGCTTTCAGGGGCTCACTGTTCACAGGGGCCTTTGCCTTTTCTGAGTCTCTCTGAGTGCAGAAGGTTCTGCGAAAATGCATAGCCTCCGTGTGATCCTCAGAAAATCCCAGGCAAACTCAAGATGAGAGCATTCTACAAACGAAACGGCCTGGGCTCTACAAAAGCAGCGAGGTAATCAAAGATAAGAATGTCTGCTCTGGTGAATTGTGCGTGTCCGCCGCACATTTTTCAATTGGATTGTTTGCCTTTTTGCTTTGGAGGTGTTCGAGTTTCCTGTACCTTTTAGAGATCAATACCTTGTCCAATATGATACTGAATAAGTTTTTTCCAGTCTGTGGATTATCTTTTTACTATCTTGGTGAAAGAGTTCCTAGCACTTAAGTATCTGATTTTAATGAGATCCCAGGCATCTGTCTTCTGTGGTTTGTGTATTTATGTCTGAGAGTGTGTTTATGACATAGGTTGGGACCCCAAAGTTTATTCTCATTCTTTTCTTTGACAGAATTTATAGTTATTTATATATATATAGGTATTTAAATCATCATGAGTCCATTTCTCTATTTGGTGAGATATGGATCCTGTTTCATTTTTGAGCAAATGGATATCCAGTTTTACTGGCTCCATTGTTAAAGAAACTGTTTCTTCCCCCATGTCATGTGTTTCCCCGGAGCCAGAACCTTGTACTGAAACCAGTATAACAATGACATCCCTGTTTGGAGCCCTGAGGGCAGGATTCTTCTAATTGAATCGGCAATAGAAACTGTTAAACCAGGTTCAGCCACTGTTGGTCTGGAATCAAACCCCGTACAGCATTAGTTGCATGGAAGAGGGCACAGTCAGAGCTTGCAGCTCATCAGAAAGAAAAATAAAATGATCCATGTTGGCAACCATATTGGTATCTCAAGTGTGGGGCTTACTGCTAGTGCTAGACTGTTATGTAATTTCACGCACCAGGATTCGAGATTTGTATCTGACAGACCTCTTCCTGTGTCTGGCTTGTATCTAATTGGAAGCAAACCCAGATGCCAGCTTAATGATATGGCCACAGACCATATGGTTTGCTGGTTATGAGGCCATGGGACCTCACATTTTCCAACCCATCCATCTGTGAACTATTGGGACTGCAGAGCTGTGCCCATGGGAGCTCACTCTCCGTCAATCTTACTTGGAGAGACATCGTGTCTGAGTTTAGGGAGCGCAACTGAAGGAGCTGTTTAAACATGGTCTGCATGCCTTAAGAGAGACATTTCCTCCAGAGCAGGACCTAACAACAAAGAATGCTTCCACTGGCATTGTTGGCAAAGACATGGAGGCTATGATCGATAATATTGATTAAGACCACAGAGAAAGGCCCAGCCTGCTCATCTTCTGAACCTGCATATAAGGCTGATGAACCAAGGGAGAATTAAAGGATAAAGGAATCTATATACATAGCATCAAATATGAAAGAATGCAGGAAAAAGGAACTGGATGACAGGAATCTATGGTCCAAGAAACAAAAGATGCAGCGTGGTAGAATGATAGGCTTTAGTCAGTCCAGTCAGTCCGATGTGATTTTTTGTTGTTGACCTAATTGAAACCATATAATGGGCTTTTTGGTTTGGATTTTTTCTTGAAACGGTCTATGTGCTATTTTCTAGAAAGTATAGAGTATCTATATTACAGATACCCTAGAACATAGAGTCTTTGTGGTTTTAAAGACAACTGAAATAAAATTGCTTTACCATCAACTATCTGTAGGTGATTAGATTAAGTTCTAGATTCTCGGTCCTTTCCACTAGTCTATGTGTGTGCCACAGTTCTAGGCTGTTGACCATTGTGGCTGTGTAGTAGGTTTTAAGATCAGGAAGGACGGGATAGCCACTTTGTTGTTCTTCTTTGTAATGTATTGCTTTCCTTTACATATAAAGTTGGTGATTTGTTTTTGCATATTCTTAAAGGGTCACGTTGGGTTCTGGATTGGGATTGCACTGTGTCTGTAGCTATCTTTGGGCAGTATTGACATTTTACAATGTTAAATCTTTGTACCCATGAGGAGGGCTTATTCTTCTGTTTATGTAAGTCTTTTTCATTTGTTTTGTTTTGTCGTTTTCTTGGTATATGTAGTTTGCATTTAAGAAATTAGACTTATTCCTAAGTATTTCTCTCAAGTGGCTATCATAAATGGTATTGTTTCCCTAATTTCCTTTTTAGAGTTTTCATTGTTAGTATAAAGGAACCCAGCTGATTTTTGTAGTTGATCCTGTAGCCTGCCACTTTGTGAATATTTCCGTTAGTTCAAGATATTGGCTTACTGAGTCCTTGAGATTTCCTATGCACAGGATCATATCATCTGCAAATAGACTCTTACTTCTTCTTTGCCAATTCGGGTGCTGTTTGTTTCCGTCTCTTTATCGCTCTAGCCAGGGCTTGTGCTACTCTAGTGAACAGAAGTGTTGATGAAGGCTCCTCTTAGCAAAAACAATGTTTTCAGTTACCTCCCAACGGAGAAAAATGGTGGCAGTTGGTTTGGCACCTATGCCCCTAATTACATTAAGGACCTTCCTGTTGATTGCTATTTTGATGAGCCTTTTTACCAAGATTGGGCATCGCAAAATAGTCATGTGAGCACTCTGTTCACCTTTGCTCTTTGGGTTCACCCCTCCACCTCTCTGTGCACATAGAAAACAGCGCTCCAAAATGGCCTCCCCAGACCCCCAGTAAAAGTCCAATAAATCCAGAACCCACACCAGCTCACTGCTATTTCTCAGATCCCTTTTCAAATTCCCAGAAGTTCGTGTCAGATTCAGAAGAAACATGGCACAAGAGATATCATTACTGTTGTCAGCTGGATCGTGGCTGAAGGCAGAGAACAACAGTGATAATCAGAGAAGAAGGACGACGTGAAGAAGAATAGCGCAGCAGGATTAGAGAAAGGCGCGTTGGCACCAGCCATGTGCAGGGCCAGAACCTTGGCTTGCTGAAAGTGAAGAGCACTTGAAATACTTACTGGAAAGAGTGCAGCTTGCAGTGAGAGCTACAGATCAACGTAAAGGATGAAATCCTCACAACTGATCTAGTAAGAACAATTATGATAAACAGAGAAAATTCTGAAGCTGTCAAAGATTTCTGTCACTTGGAGCTTCAATCAACAGCCATGGAAGAAGCAGGCAAGAAATCAAATGATGTATTGCACTGGGCAAACTTTCTGTAAAACAAGAAAACTCTTAAAAATATTAAACTACAAAGATGTCAGCCTGAGAACTAAGGTACACTTGACACAAGCCATAGTCGTTTCACTCACCTCATAGGCATGCCAAAGTTGGACAATGAATGAGGAAGAAAGAACCGGTGTCTTTGGTTACAGCGTAGGCAAAGAACAGTGACTGTCCCATAGGCTGCCAGGAGAATGCACAAATCTATGTTGGAAGAAGCAGAGCTCGGAAGCTCTGAGAAGAGAGGATGCTTAGACCTCATCTCACCTGTTTTGGACATGTTATCGGAAGAGACCAGTCCCTGAAGAAAGACGTCATGCGTGGTAAAACAGAGGGTCAGTGAAAAAGAGGAAGCCCTTCAACGAGATGGATTGGCACAGTGGGTCCCAGTCGTGTGCTCCAACACAGCAACCACTGCAAGGAGGACTTTGTTCTCTGGTACCTACGGTCACTAGGAGTAGCAGCCAACTCGATGGCCCCTCACAGCAACTATAAATGACCCTGCGGTCATGTTCTACAGATGGGAACATTGACACACAGGAGGAGGCAGTGTGTGAGATTGCTTCAGAGATACAAGAGGGGGTGCAAGAGATGTAAGTGGTAGAAGAGGGGCTATGGGTTGATAATTCTTAAAGAGGTGAGTGGAGACATGGGCTCATTAAATTATCCTCTCACTTTTACACATGTTTGAAATATTATATCATAAAGATCCAGAAAAAAAGACTATCAAAAAAAGAGGCTATGGTCCTCTGTGAGTAGGATCCCCCGGCCCGGAGCTGGAGCGAGAGTGATGTGCTACCAAGTTCTAGCCTGTGTCAACTCATCCAGCGTCCCCACGATGCCATGAAGAAGAGTCTAAATACTCTCACTTGACAGATGAGGAGACTGAGGCGCAGAGGCCAATGACCGGCCCACAAATACTGCAAGAAGATTCAAGCCCATCGCTGCAAGTCTGAGACTCTTCCTGAAACCAGGAGCCGCCCTGCATCAGCCTCTCCCACCCCCACCCCCCACCCCAAGGCCCTTAAGAGACTCCGTATCCCCCTAGATCAACAGACTGGTACCACATCCAGTTGCCCTCTTGGAAATTCAGCACTGCCTTTCCCCTCCTCCACCCCAGAAAACACTGTGGACTAAGAGTGCCCTCACACAGATCCCTTCCCAAGGCCTTTCATTTAATAACCTTTTAAATTGTAACTACGGTAACCAAGAGCTGTCTTAAATTGAGAGATTGGAGACGAAGCAGTCACCTGTAATCTTTCTGCCCTACGGGGCAAGGATGATCTCTGTGTATATCTCATCTGTCAATCGTTTCTTATTTTGTTTGTTTGCTTGC